CCCCCCCCCCCCCCCCCCAAAAAAAAAAAAAAAAAAATTCTACTGCATTCGGATATTAGCCCAAGTGGTGCCGTTTTCGGAGTCGCCATCTTGAGCCTCACGATCCTCAGAGCCGGAATGACTCAGGAAAACGGGAAGCCCGAGAGAAGAGGCGAGAGTGCTTGGAGGTCTCGGAAATCCATGCTAGTTTCTCGAGGAAAGTGAACGGGGCGGGAATCCGTGCAAGACGCCTTCTCGCGAAAACGTGAATAATTCTTTATGTCGCTTCCGTGCGATTGCTGGCCTAATTACGCCTTTCTCATGCGGTTGCATTCATACGTTCTCCTCTACATTTAAATAAATACTCGTTCATGCAAGAGAAGTTGCAAAGTAATGCAACAATTAAAGCTAAAATACTTTTTCATAGCCATTTCCTACTTAATCGCAAAATAATTATAATTCTGACGTAGAAGGGCGAATAAACCATTATCAGGGCTTACACTTCTCACCCGATGATTGTTCTTCAAGGCGGCAGTAAATCATGACTGTGTCGAAATTCAAGGTCACAAGGACAAGGAAAGGCCGGGGAGCCAGTGACCCTAATTCATGACGAACGGAGGAAAGAGGGAATCCGCCTCTTCCTTCGGCTTCAAATTCGACAGTGAATACAATTGAAAAAATAATTACAAATTCAACATTAATTTAAAATCCGAAATTGAAAAACACAAAATTTATTTAGAATTGGACACGATTTGAAGTTGAACGCCGTCAACGATTTGCTACCACCACCTCACGTTCCGGTCAAAAGCGAATCGGCATCGGCTTTCCCCACATTACACGAACAAATCGGCTGGAACGGGAAACCGAGAGTAAATCGAGAGGAAACCGAGGCTAATGTCAGGTGGTGATTGTTACCTCGCGGTTTCGAGCGGCTTCCGCGTCCTGCTGCGGCCGCAACGCGATGGCTGCAGTCGGCGTGTCGCGTCGGAACCGCTTCGATAAATCTCCACCGCCGACAGTTTGAGTGAATTTCCCCATTCCCTCGATGCGAGGGAACGAAGAGATAAGGCTCGGAGACCTTGACGTTGGGGACCCGGCAGGCGCCCGAATGTCATCGGCCATGCGACGACCCGCAACCGTGGATGCGTTGCGTCACCCTCTCGCGATGGAGATTCCCCTCGACGGAGATTCCCCGCGATGGAGATTCCTCTCCCCCGACCTTGCCCGGGCGCGGCGCCTCGTGAATTCCTGCATAATGCGCGCCTCTTCGGCGGCCTTCGCCTCGCGGGTGTCGTGGGGAACGTGCGGATCGTCTCGCGTCTCTTCTCCCGAGTGTTTGCGGAAGTCGAGAAGTGTTGCGATGAATGCGAAGTCGACCTCGAAAACGACTTTTTTTTTCTTCAAATCTCTTGCGGAATAATGCAAAACAAAAAATCGTTCAGAAAAAAAAAAACAATTCAACAGCAACAACAATCACGAGTTCGTTTCGTCGCCCGAGCGTCCGTCGACTCAGATTCCCGTCAACGTTTGCCTCTTTCGAAATCCGTGACCAAGGGAATCTTAATATCGCCCGTCACTCCTCTCGCATCGTGATGAAAAGAAATCTCTCTCGACGCTTAATAGCTGCCACGACCGTTTAAGCAAGGACGCCAATCGAGGAGAGACCCGCCGATCGTCTCCCCGCGAGACGACGCCCATCCTCGCTTCACTCTCGCGACGTGGGAAGCGACGCCCGGAAGGAGGAGGGAGGCCGGAGCCCCTCGAGGAGGGAGGACCGCGGACGGACCGGGGACGGACCCCAGTGCAAGGAACCACGTGGTCCCGTCCGCATCGGTGAGTCCCTCGCTCCCTCTCCTCGTCTCTCGGCAGGGCCGAATTCGAAGAAAGTCTTTAAACGTGGGGGGAATGGAAATGGCTTCGACTGTGCTATCGGCTCGGATCTCGAGAAAGGAAAAGGGAAAGCAGGCGGAACTAGGAAACGGAATGACAAGTGTATCGTGAATGTATCGTGAATGCATTGTGAATGAATTGTGAATGTATTGTGAATGTATTGTGAATGTATTGTGAGTGAATTGTGAATGAATTCGGCCGTCGCTGGGTCTCTTCCGCCGTTTCACGCTCGGTCGACTCCGTCACGTCTCCATCATTATATTATTATTATTATTATATATTGTTTCTTTCGACTTCAACTTGAAGCAGTGAGGTTTCTGCGTCTCGCGTTAACTCTTCCGTTAATCCTCCGTCGATCCTCCGTCGATCCCTTCGGTCCGACCAGGTCTCACAGAGGTGTCGACGAAAGTGTCGCCCCTCTTCGCATGGATCGAGGCACAGGGCCGTGCGTTTCATCATCCCCTTGGCAGTCTGCCACTACGATGCCACTGCGATGCCACTGCGATGCCACGGCGATGCCACTGCGACGCCACTGCGATGGCCTCTACGACCCGGGTCATTTCAAATTCCTTCGGGTTTTCTCGAGTTTTTTCTTTCGCGGGCGTCCGAGCGGAAAATTTCGAATCAGGTTACTTACTTAATGATCGTCATCGAAAAACGATCTGCATTCACTGCGAGACTCACGCTAAATTCACATTAAATTTCTGAATAGTTACGGTCAATTCACCATTTATATATATATATTTAACATCTGCCTGCCTAATGATCTCCGATAATTATTCATAATTAAAGCGATGTCGCCGCCGGCACTTCGCAAGACTCATCGATTGAAATGCATTCATGTCGCCCGTGGGTGGCGTGGCCCTCGATGAGGGCCTCGATGACTTCGGCGTCCTCTAAGCCGCTTTTCCTCGTCTGAAACCTTTGATTGTCTCCTAATTATCTATTATTATAATCCAATAGCAGCCGATTCATTCTCACCCGTGTCGAGAGTCGGCAAGGTCGACTCGACCGGGTCGTCTCGATTAATTCTAAACTCGAGAGAAACCGGGGAGACGGAGAATTTTCTCCCCGAAAATGTTTCATGTCATTCGATGAAAATATAAATAATTCAAGGGAAATGGTTGGTTTAATTTATATAATTTATGTAATTTATATTATTTATATTATACAGTCGAATCGGGTGATAACATCATTGAGAGGACCAGTAAAATCAAATTACGTTATGACCGAGGTTCGTTATTAGCGAGTTTGCATTTTAATTTATTTATTTATGCAAATTTCAGACAATTTCGCGTGCCAGCCGCGTAACGATAACCGCCCCGATAACCACCGTTTCGCGAGCTTTGAAGAGCGGTTGAGGACGTTCGCGGTTCCGCGCGGTCACGCCCGCTGCACGCGCACTCGCGCTCGCTGCAAACACGCACGATGCGATGACCAGGAATGCAGATTCCTGGTCGCCGATGGAAATTTCATTCAACTTAGGTTTTTTTTTATCGTGTCCGAAAGAGAGTTGGCCGTAAAC